AAATTTAACATTTTCTTGATGGTATTGCATTTAAGATGTTTTTGCAAGCGCAAAGTCTTTTGCACCAAAAAATACAATTTGCATCAAATGGTACATTTTGAAATATTTCCACTGTATAAAGTGTTCTCGATGTTATCAATTTGAAAAAATTTGATCTATCTACACTTTCTTTTCGTAAGACAGGAGCACTTGTTCAAGTGCAAAAGCTGGCGCAATAATATTACCTTTTCTTGGAATAACCAAAGAGTTGAATCATAGCTCTACCACGTGCAATATTATTTTGCTATCTAAAAGTCGCAACTAAGAAAGTAAAAAGCCAGGATATAATAAATCCCTTTACTAATGCAATTTGAGGTTAATTAAGCATCCAATATACTCTGGCAAAATGGTGGAAAATTATCATTTTCCAAACGTAAGCCAAAGAAACTCATTAAATTAGACTGAAAATATGCATTAACAAAACCCGCAAAATGTTTTGTCAGTTCATATGAAAATTGTTGTTATCGAAATGTTTAGTCGTTCACATAGCCCTCAAGGATCAAAAACTAACTTTACATTTGTGACAAATCCTGTTCTAGATCTAGATCAAAGGCACAAGACTAGAATAAAATGCGATCCTTCAGAGTGCAGAGGCAGAAAAAAGCAAACAAACTTTGAAGGTGCGCTTTGGTTTTCCACCGCCCCCCCCCCCTCCCCCTCTTAAAATGAAACGAAATGAAAACCAATCTGGGTGTCAAACAAAGGACGTCTCTATCTACAGCAACGCACAGAGCAGATATTATTTCACAGTCCTAGAGCCACTCCATTAAGAATTTTTAAAACAAGATTGTTTTTGTAAGTGAAGGCTTTGCATAAACTCAGGCAGAGATTAGCAAAAGTTCTACCTTAGAAAAACAGGTGCTAGATGGAGGATAGTCTGGTTTATAGCCAATAAAACAATATTGTAAAAGAAAAAATGAGGGAAGAATATCACAGCTTCTGGAATTGTATCTGTGCTTACACTCTTAAAAGAGCCAGACAGATAGATCAAACTTTGGATGGGGCAAATAATATTTAAGTTAACTTGTCAACATTAATTTCCTGTAATAGGTATGATATACTAATTAATAAATTATTCTACGGATTGAGAAATGTTATAAATACTTACATTGACTCAGATTTTATTCAGACAAAACAGGGACGAAGCTAAAGTAAATTGTTAGGGTATGTCAGATTCCCAGATTTGCCGACAGAACAGCGTTCCTATTGTATGACTGTTGGCGTCAATACAACTTGGCCAAACTTTTTCATTAAAATTTTGAGCTATTTTAGAATACACAAACCTTTCTAGACAGGAATGGGGTACACAAAATGCATAATTTTTTTATCGCTTTTAATATATCTTTGAAGTTTAATATAGGATTATCTATAAGAATGTCATAAGAGCTTAACAAAGAATTTTAAAATCTTTAAGCGCTTAGCCCAAAGTTGGGGGGTTGCAATACCTCCTACACCCCCCTTTGGCTACAACTCTACACCAATTGAATACTTAAGCTAAAACTGACTCGACTGCATGGTATTGTTTGAAGAATCAACCAGACATTACGTCAAAAAGGCAATTCAAGAATGTTATAAATGGCTCCTCATGTAGCATAGATTCAGCGGGAGAGACAGCAATGCGTTAAATGAGCTCTATATAATATCTTAAAGATTAAACTATAAAAATATATTTCGAGATCATTTTGATGATTATTTTTGTGGAATGTTTTGTGATCGTCAACATTCCTTAGTATGATTCTTGGTATTCTGCAGCAAAAAAGTTAATTTACTTGAAAATACAATATTCTTCTTTGTTTGCGCTAACATCGTCTATTATCATTAAGGCTTGGGCTAACACCGTTTAATTTGTACAAAGTAGAGCTTTGTAAGTAGAAGTGGAAGAAGTAGAAGAACCATTTTAAAAGTGATTACATAAGCAAAAAAACCTTTTTCGTTGCGCTCACTGTATACCAGTAATTAATATATATTTTAATGTCGTTGGTGAAGTGAATTTTAGAGTGCAATGAAAAATCCCTACACCCGTGTCATCATAATATGGCCTATCATATTACTGATAGAAACATTGATTTTTTCGAGCAAAATGCTCAACTCATTCAAATTATTAAAGACACTTCCTGCACACAGCAAACAATTTAACATTTATAGGATAATACTTTTTTTACTGATTATATATGGGAGGCTATTGGAAATGTATTTGAATATATTTTTTTTGACAATCAAACAAGAGGAATTGTGTTACCCTGTCTGCTTTAGCTGACTGTAAAAAGGGATGACTATTTTTGTTTCTAGGTGGTGTTAACGAGCAATTCAACAGCAAAATCTGTTTAGTCTTCACTGATTTATTTCAAATTAGTCTAATTAACCCCTCTTTTTTCAAAAATGCCGCTTTACGTTATAGAGAGTGACTCATTCTGGGTTTATTAGAGTATACTGGTGGTCCACGGGAAGATTTTCAAGCGCTCGATTTTTAATTAATCATATGTATCTTATGACGGATGCGACTGACATAAAAGCTTTAATAAGCCTAGTGCTAAATAGATAAAATTAGACGTGGCAAAAATTTGAGCTTTTAAAAGCAATCAGTTTCTATGTAAAATGTCTTTCAAGCCTTGATGAAGATGTTTTCAAGAAATTTCTAAAAACAAACTAATATGTTTAATCAGTTCAATCGACCGACAGTTATTCCTGTCACTTCTGGGTGGCTTTATGGAACGTAACCTGGATTACATGAATTGGGAACATTTGATAATTTAGCTATGTGGGCTGATAATGTTCGTTGAGACGCTAAGGGACAATTACAGAGAGGTTTAGATGTAATTAGATATGCGGTGGGTCTGTTATAAGCTAATTTGACCATTTTGTACAGATCCGAATTTGCTTTAAGATTTGAAAAATCTAAATTAAGATGTTACTATATTCAGTATACTGTTAAAGTTACCGTAAATAACTGGCTGTACCAAAATCACCTGGACCAGAGCAAAAACATTAACAACCATATTTATCCTTAAGCAAAAGACTTTCGATATTACTTCTAGTTGATAATGGAAAAAGTTTTCGTTCTTTTTTTCAAATATATCCCTTTCTATCCAAGGCCTAGAAAGCAAAGGGGCCGGGCGAGCCCCCTAGTCATGCTAGCTGCAGATTCACCGCATATCGAATGCACCTTTTGGTGACTTTGTCGCCCAAGCATTGAAAGAAAGTTGACACGTGACGATGTTTTCAAGATCGAATTAAGCATCAAACTCAGATATTTTGCAAAAAACAACTTGAAAAATATTTAGTTCATCATAACATATCTCTGTACTTAATGAAAATAAATAAGTATGACTTTTTTAAAAAAATAGTGTATATAGAGGTTTTACCTGTTTGCAAAAATTACAGATATTGTATCTTTCAAGCAATTATATTTTAGCTTTAGGAAGAAAAGTATTTTTTTCTGCCTGGAAAATCTTTACGGTGTTTGTAGTATGCATGAAAAAGTAAAACAACCTCCCACAAGCTCCTTCATTAACGACTTTTTTAAATAAATTTTCGTCATTATTGTTTCGACAAATAACATGTATAAAAAGTAGTCATTGACTCTTTTCCTATCCTAAAAACTTGGTAGAGATATATAAAAAGATTCTAAATTAGTTTTTGCAGAACATAAGTGGGAAAGATTGACAACGAGAGATGGAGAAGCATTGCCAGACAATGAAAGAGGAAATTTGGTTAGACCTTCTTCTTTTTCTAAATAATGTTTGCTGTATCTGTATGTAAATGTTCATACAGATTGGAAGTCTTTTCCTATTACACCAACCAGACATCAATTTCATTTAACTTTAGCATCGACATTTTATCGGCAATCGTATTTTTTGACTTTTTTGACTAGACAGTCCTGACGTCTTACTTTTGTTCTATATATATATATACAGTGGAATCCCGAACGAACTTCCCGGTATAACGAACTGAATGCCTGGTCCCTTGGATTCTGTCTGACAAACTCCTTACAAATTCCCTCGAGATAACGAACCCCAGACATAAAGAACTCTCGATATCACGAACCAAATTTTGGATCTCTTCATCATAAATACCCTCGATATAACGAATTTTTCATAATTTTTTCTTCTGATTTCAAGCTTTGGCTGATAGGCTCAGAGCACGGGATGAAAGTTTGATTGCGTAAAAAATAAGTGCGAATGAGCAGATTGGCACTACTGAATACCTTTTTTCATATGGGACATTGGCAATGAGCGATGACAAAATTTTATTGAGAGACCCAGATGGAGAAGCAGAAGAAACAAATAAGGATGTGAAGTAATCGAAGACGTTATTTAGCCGCTAACTAGAAGTGAAGCGATATCAACTTTGCCAATGTCTGGGTACCAAATTGTAAAAGGAGCATAAAGATCTTCGTTTTCGATGACTAACCATTAGTTTTATTTGAATTCATCTTGGTCTTTTGGGGTGAAATATGCACAGAAGTTGGAGATGGCCTAAACAAGCCCATAGCAGGTTTTTTAGGCGTGAACTCTCAAAGACCTAAAAAGTGTTTTCTCCCGGTTTAGGGAACTCCCGATATAACGAACTATTTTCTGGTTCCTATTAAAGTTCGTTATATCGGGGTTGCACTGTATATAAATACTTCAAGATTGGTACCAACTAGATTGGTACTAGAGTTGACACCAACTCTGTTGTATTATCTCTATTGTATCAATTTTGCATCTGTTAGCTCCATTTAATTTGTTAAGTATTACTGATTAAGACTTTGGTCGAAACGTTTAAAAAAACGGTGCATAAGCTATTGAAAGTATTGTATATATGTATGCATATATGCAAACAATTTTTGATGGCATAGAAAGCACGAAAAGTGAACATCAGTTCTACTAACTTTTATCATATCCATGACAAGGTTACTAGTTATCGCTTGATCCATCTCCAATGTCACACTGCCAATAATTATATACAATGTACACACTTACTGTCAGATGTCCAAAGACATAATGAATAATTATATCGCGAACCCACTAATTTTGATCTTCAGAACACCTTCCTGTTCTTCTCGATGCTGTTTATTCACGGACACAAATGCATCTCATTGGTTTGGAAATGAAATACCATCTGTCGAGATGCTGTCACTAATTTTTTTTGAACACAGATTAACTTAATTTTAACCAAACATACAAGTAGATTAAAGCAGATGAGAAAGGTAGACACGCAGACAGTTAGTGACTAATGAAAGAATGTTTTGCATGTGAGATTTAAGTGCAGGCAGTGCAGCACTCATGAAGGCAATGGAAAGACAGAGAGATTAAACAAGCAGGTTAGAATGACTCATGGAATGCCTTCATTTGTGACTGGAAATGGCTTCCAGTTACGTCCACTGTGACGTGACATCAAAAATGTTTAAGAATGAAGTGACATAAGATTTCCATTTTCCAAAATTATAAGAGACTGGGGGCGGTATTAGATATCTTTTGGACCTCGAGGGTAGTATATCACAAGACAGGATGACGAAAAAACATTTATCATATTGAAATGAATTTAAGACTAAAAACGTTGGCGATATTCTTTTCCTGTCACTCACTGAGAACGGGATTTCAAAATTCTTCAAATTGTACCATGATGCAGCATGGAATGTTCCATTCTCTCAAACTGGTGACGTCACACAATAATTGCTTTGAACTGTGATCCAAATGAACTTTGAATCCTCACAAGATTTGATATGAATTTAGTTTTTGATTTCTTATAAGCAGGTAAACATGTAGGGAAATTACTTGTTACACGTTTAAACTATTTAATCATATCTGGTTAACAGGTCAACTTGTACACAATTGTGTCTTTTGACATTGGATCGAATATAGAATATCATGTTTGTATGGTTCTACAGTTTGGCACTATTTATTATTTGATATACTATTAACCTCTCAGGCAGATGCTGTCTGCTACACATACAAGTTATCCACACGATACAAGCATCATTTTTGTACAGCGTGATACAAGAAGAGTCTTTATTCTTAACACTTGGTGTAAATGTATCTCTGTTCCATCCAATAATTAACGCGGACAAAGAAAACTAATTATTTGGGAAAGCTATCTACTTAATCATCCTACAAATCCAATATGTATGATTGGATTTATATTCAGATCTGATAGAAAAAACTTTTACGAATTATAAAGTCCGTTCTTACAGATTCATGCAAAAATGGTCTTTGTTGCAAATATATTCTCACAAATATTCTGCTTTTCACTTACTGAAATAGTATTTGGTAACAAAACAACTGGACCAGTCAAACACACATCGTAAAACTGAAATGTTTATAGTCTACAGTCAATATGAGTATTATTATTTTTTTAGTCAATACCAAAGCTTAAATTAAGCAGTTGAATTTGAGTACATGTCAAACTGATCTAACATTTGATAAGTTGAGTATAATGGTAGGCATTAATACTATTTTTATTAGATTCAAATGATCAATAGTTGGTTACAATTACAAGGGTGTCTAAAACGGTAGCAAAAGTGACATTGGCACAGAAATGAATTCTGTTTTTCACTTTAAGAGACAATGGCACTGGTATAACCATTTCTATTGTTTTTATCAAATCTACTTACAATATTCGCAAAGACTGCCATAGATCATAAGCTATTAGAAAGTGAGAGACAAATGCATAAAGATATAAACGAAAACCTAAATGGCTTGGAGGGCCTAAGACGTTGAAACAGTCAATTACACTTCAACTACTCAACTTTACTGAAGATTAATCATTCTTCAATTTGTACAAGACTTGGGCCTTCAGAGTTTTTATTTACTATTTTGATATAAATTTAATGCCAATCTCCGGGATATCTCTACTGCAAAAGGCCCTCTCGCTCACTTTCTAGGGAGCACTCTTGCTTCAGAAACACCATAGCCTAAAGCAACATATTAATTCGGTAAGATTATCTTATCATAGGAAGCTACTCCTTGCTGCCTCCCAGTAGGTAGCATCCCCGTCTTATTTGTCTTTTTAATGGCCCTCGTGCTCTTTCATTATAAAAATTACCTATCTATCAAAGCAGCAGCCATAAAAGACTCTGCCGACAATAAAGATGTTGAAAAAGATACAAAGTAATCAATATTACAATGGCAAATTGGCATTTAACAAGATTTTGGTGCACAGAAAATGGAAACAAAGAAGCGCTTAACTCCTAGTAGCGGCATCGCCCATGGCGGGAAGGAGCTTGACTTTCTCATAAGGTGTATCACATAATGTTTGATCTTTTACTAATGATAACAAGTAACTGATATTGTCCAGCTCTGTACACTGACAGTATTGCTCATTATCTTATAGCATATCAAGTCACATATTAAATCATTATATCTCATAGCAATGAATGGCAGCATCATGTGCACATATATAAGTTTTTGTATTTTCCCTAATCTGGCCTCGGAAGCCATGCTTGCCATCTTTCTCTGTGATGCATGCATCATTGGCAAAAATAACAGGCGATATCTTAATCCAAGATTTTTGCATTAACGATATTTCGCGATACAATTTAAATAACATGCATCGACCTGATAAAATATCGATTTCTTAAGATAAAAAGAAGTATTTTGCAATTGAGTTTATGCAAAGATTTAGGAAAATCTATGAAGCAATTGATAGATGAGATTGGTTATAAAAGAGGATAATTTTTCAAAAACGCAGAAGGTAGCCCCTGTGCAAAGCTTATGTATGTAATAAACAATAATTTATGTAGTGTTTAGCGCAATATATATAATATAATGCATATATGTCAAATATATAAATAAAAATAGCAAACAAATAGTGTTTTTTCCCAAATTGGCTATTTTCACTTTTTGACAGTTTTAAGCCTTTTTGGCTGGAGAGATTTTATACTTCACCAATTATTTCTACAAAACAACAGAAAATAAATGTTTAACTAGGTCTTTTTTTGCAGTTATAAATTTCACAGTTCCAGTGCCAGAATAAATTAATCCAACTATATTAAGTTTATCAATTCTAGAATTAGACGATGCTTTGTTATTCTCATTTTGTTGCAAACTATCGCCAAGCCAATTCACCGCTTTTATATGGTAGATATGAACAAAAATTACATGAAAAAAGTGAAAATACAAGGTATTCAGCTATTTACCAGCTGAGGTGAAATTGCAGCTGATACCAAGAAAATGCTTTTCAGTAGAACCTGGAAAATGACAGCGCGCAAAGGCTCCTGGTAATAAATTACTTCTTATCCGACAAACACGTCGTCTGGATAATGAAACCCAATCAGACGGATGGAAGTACACGATCTCAATCAAATGAATATTAGTTAGCAGATTATCCCCCACTTAACCATTGTTTTGCTTATTGAAAAATAAACGTTGGAGATCTTGTTGAGTTAATCAGTCAACAATACGCTCGAAATCTACCAACAAATAAATATGCCTGCTTCACTGATTCATTCATTAAATACTTCTCAAAGCAGATTAGTTGGCCAGTGCAAATCTCAATTCAGCCCAATGCGGAGGACAAGCCAAGCGGCCATTTTAGAAGTGAAAACCAAGGCACAAAGTGTCACCAGCATGGAGAAGAGAGCACCCCAAAATTGCAGGTTGACGACAAATGACGGCACTGGGAATAGCAAGAGGCTGAAATACTCTATTGATGAGATATTGGGAATGAAACAAAGGGACAGTGTTGTGACAGAGACGAAAGAAAGATTGTCACCGCATGAAAGAAGAGACAAACTTGAACAAAAATCGCCGGTAGCAGGTGAGCAGTCAAAAGCAGTTATAATCAATTGATCGTTTACTGTTTATGCAGGATTAATTCAGTGTTTAGAAAACACGAACTCCTGGAGAATAATTTCTATCTTTCTTATGGTATTTGCCTTTTTCAGAGTTAAACATTCTAAATGAACAAAAATCTTGTTCAATTTATTTTTCAGGTTTATGTAATGATACGAATTGAAAAAATTTACAAACTCAATAGTTTTTGGCCAACGGAAGTTGTTACTAGCATATGACTGTATGATATTCAAAACTATTTTCTTTAATGAATTCATCCTAATACGAAAGCAATTCAAAACTCACTCTGCTATTTTTCTTCAAATTATATAATATTAGGTCAATACACGACGTCAACTAGATATTCGATTAGGTTAAAACGGAGTCTTGTTGGACTTAAGTAAAGAGTATGCGATAAATTATCTTTTTGTTGAGTAGACAGGACACCTATCATAGGATTTTCTTGATATATATTAATGCCAAAAGCGAGGCATCTTTACCTAGCATAGTTATTTCCTAAAAGACTGGCAGAAATAGCAAGAGCTCCCGATCTAACTAACGTGGCTGATTCCAGTTTGCCAACTTCTTAATGAATCAAGGCACACGGCTTATCCTTTGTGTTGATTAGCCTTCCACTTTTTCTTTCGTTTCAATTAGAACACAACAATTATCCAGAGTGTTTTCCTTCATTTTTGTTAATAATAAGCGCTGTAGGATGGCTTTTTCAACAGACTGCGCTAAAGAGCATATGATCTAAATCGAAAAGAATGATCAAAATTCGCTTATAGTCAAATTAAAGATCCAATATTTTAACAAATTGGGAAGACAAGCACGGCAATGGGTCAAAGAAAACATATTTTCTATCTTCCTAATTCAGGAAGGTTAATATTTCATTAGCATGGGACGAGAGCTAACGAATTAAATGGAAAAACTTATGATCATCTGAAAGATTCTCATACAAGTTACAGCTTTTCCTATTCTGAAATAAATCTGACAGAATTTGACAAAAATTGATATGATTTTCATATGCAACTACTTCGAGAGGGAAAGCCTTAAGTTCTTGGTAGACGACGTTCGCAAGCTTCTCTGCTTTGCTGCTGCTCCGAAAATCTGCTCTTTGATCAATGCATAACAGTCTAATGTCATTTCAAATGTCTTAAACGCAAAGTTTCTACAAACTAAACTATTTGCAGCGTATTAGACACCTTTGCTTCTTAGTCTAGATTTCTTCAAGCATTTTTTTTGTCCTTTAGCGAGAATCTTTAGCAAGCTATTCAGTTCTTAGGCCTAACAATTACTAATAGAGTTTGAAAGACAGCAAGAAGCATTCTCTGTCCCTAGCTTTTGCTGTCAACGCAACCAGGTAAGACAATTCCATACTTTTTTCGGAAATAATCACCTGCAAGTAAACACCAAAAACTAAAAATTTCAAGTTTCAGCATTCCCAAAGTATTGACTTGATTTGTATTTACATTTCAACATTGTATGTTAATTAAATGAAGAAGTTGAATTTAAAAGTAGCATGTTTGAAATAAACTGCAAAGAAGAAAAGGGAGCGATCAATTAAAATGCCAAGCACTTTTTCTTCACTATAACTAAAATTCGGATATGCAAATCAACCCCGAACAAAAGATCCACACCGCCCCGCGATTCAAACGGTTTTCAGCCAAAACCGCTCGGCAGATTTTCAAAATTATTTTTTCATCTGAATCCTAGATCCTCGAGGCTCAAACATAAGGTCCGCTTTTTCGTATTTTCGCTTCCGTTTTTGAGATATTAACGGTTTTCTCCCGGGTTCGTTCCAAAATCTCGCGATCACGATTAGTGCTCTCCGTGGTCTTTGTCCCGTGTTTCTATAGGTTCTTTCTCTCTCTTTTCTCTTGCTCTCTACAAAAGATTTCAAAACTCCTTCCAACAGCAACCCTTCAATTTGAACGGAGGCTTTTCAAATTCGTTTCGCTTTCCACAAAGAATCTACTGTGTGCCGATAATTTAGGTGATTTGGAATTGGATGATAAATCTTCGTGCACTGCTGGTTGGCATTCCTTTTCGAACTCGAAGCGGTCGTCGACGGTCGGTGTCGTGTGCTACAGCTACAGCTCCAGTAGTCAATCGTGCTGGGTGCTCGCGACAGACCTCAGGTGAGTCTTGCTAGCTTTTTTTATCAACTGATTTTTTATCGATCGACGATTAAACCCCCGTTTGTTCTTATTTTGTTTGCAAGAGCCATGTAATTCGTGCTTTTGACGATCTTCCTTTTCTCCGTTTTAGTAGCTACGTACGGTACACGCGCTGCTACCTGATATTTGGTTTTTCCATTGCTGCTGGCTGTTCCTGTTCTTCATTGGCATCAGAATCGATGGCATGCGAATACAAGTAAGCGTTGTTGTTCTTACATGTTTTCGATATTACTTTTTTCAAATGATTTTGTGCTCATTTCGATGAAATTACACTAAAAACCGGCTGCTAGACCCCCGCTGCGAACGAAAACTTTTTACCTCTTCTCGTGGTTTTGTGCTTAAAGGAAACTGGATTGGCTTTATTGCAATCAAAGTATGAAGAATTGTGGTAGATTATTCCTGCTGTTTATTCTTGATGCAAGAAGATTTGATTTTCATAGGAAAACCCGTTGTAATGCGAATTATGTAATCCCGCCAGCCCCCAACTTTTTATGCCTATCGAGAATCCTTTGCAGCAACTTTTCCTAACCGCCTTCCTTTTTTGTAGATAAACGATCGGATTCGCTGACTTTTTGGTTCAACAAGTGAGTATTTTTCTATTAAAATTTCACTTTTTGTGAGATTTTCCCACTGAGAATGAGATGGGATTTGCCTGCCTCTTGAGTGACAATTATTCTAGAAACCATTTCAAATGACTTTATGCTTATTTGGGTGAAATTACACTAAAAACCGGTTGCTAAAAGGAGTCGCTAGACCCGCCACGAACGCCTTTCTCTTAATGTTTTACCTCTTCGTAGTTTTGTCCTTCAAGGAAGATGGATTTGCTGTATTGCTCGCTTCACAAGAACAAGTTCAAATGATTTTATGCTTAGTTTGATGAAATTTCACTAAAAACAGGCCGCATAAAGGGGTGGCTAAACCCTCGGGGCAAACCTTTTTTTCTGAAATTTTTACAAAGCATTATGACTATGGATTTTCTTAAAAAGTGCTTTCATTAACCATGGAATAACATCTTAATTATTTGTGATGTTCTTCATCTAGATCAAAGATCGTTTCAAGCAATAATTATGACCCAGACGTGATTCTTGACTGTGGAGAAAAGGACTAAAGTTATATAATATAGATTAGCTGTTGTCCGTAAATTGTATTTTGTTAATTTGTTGTTAGAGTAAGATTCCTCTCTGATGCACGAAACTTGGCTTTTATCTATCTTTCCATTTCCTAAATGCTTTGTTGCTGCAGTGTTTCAAAAGCTAATTGTGACGAAGATATGATATGTGGACCTCAAATGTATAGAACTGCGTAATAACTTTATAACTCTTTGGGGTTTAGAAGAGGTGTTTGATTCAAAATAAACAGAGGAAGTTTAAAGGTGGCCCCAAATTATACCTTAAAACAGCATCACAAGTGAACAAGAATTGAACGAAATGGTCTGATAAAGATATTCATGTTGGATTCAAAATGAACATTACAGCTTTAAGAATGGCCTTAGAAAATATTTTCAAGCGCCCTATAAGTCGACGAGGGCTAAGAATGTATGATTGGAAAACTCAAAATTTGATTCTGACTAAATAGGAGAAATTATAGGATTAACTCATGAAAATGATGGGGGCTGGCAGAAGTATGTAGCTGTCAAGTTTAAAGTAGAATTCAGAATATTTAACAAAGCTTTTAGATAAGCCTGCAAGATATTTAAACGAGCACCACGATACACCGAGAGATAAAAGAAGATGGAAACTTTGAAAATTGCAATTAGAATAAGCAGGAGAAATAAAGAGGGTAACCCGTGAAATTATTTAAACGAGGACCCCAATTAGATCGTGGCTTACAAAATGTATTGAAGCAACTTTCTGTATTGCCTTGATATTGCAACCGTTTATGTATCAAATTGATATGCACATTTTAATAAACGGAAGAGTAGCTCCCAGTAAATCCCGCTCTGCGGGCACCCTATGGCCCCAAAATGGGATAGTAAGATTAGCCTCTGAAAGTCAAGAGTGCTATTAGCCTTGATTTCAAAGGGGTTCAGATGGTGATGAAAGCTATGATATTGCTAATTGGTAATCATAATAATCAAGAAACTACTTATTGGATTGATTCTATTAGGAATTTCGCAAGTATGGGTATCTGGAGCCAGCAAGTAATTAAGTTTGGGTTTACTATTCTAAAAGGATTTACTGAATTACAATCAAGGTAATAAAGCATTATCTTCCAACACGAAAATAGCTCTTATCTCAATTGGGTTGTTGCTGCAAGTAAATAATACTTTGTCCTCGAGCAATTATTTCCTGCTCTTGCCAATAGTATATGCTACTCACAGTAGGCGTGACTATGGATTGGATTAATTATGTTTGTCTTTTGTCATGTTTAGAATGTGCTTGCCTGCTTGCTGTATGATATTACACTTTTTGCTTGCATTCCTTATTAAATTGAAAGAATGTAGGAGGGCATTGTTTTTACTTTGATTTTCAGGATAGATTCAATTTTAATTTTATTTGTCAGAGGAGTAAACAGATAAGTAAAGTTGGGAAGTCTTACCATGAAATTTTATGGAAAATTACAACAGGAGACTTAGGGGGTAACCCATTAAAATATCTAAACGAGGAACACGAATAGACCTGGGCTTGCAAATGTTTTGAAGCATCTTTCAATTAACGGAAGACTAGCTCCCCTACGAAGCCCGCTACGCGGGCTTGCCAGTGACCCTACGGTAGAGTACATAGATTAGCCTCGGAAAAGACAAGAATTCTGTCGAAGCCCCCTATGAGTATGCAGATTAGCCTCGGAAAAGACAAGGTGTATCAAC